GTCCTGCTTTTCGCTTCACCTGCGCCACGGCATTCCGTGCCCCAGCCGCCGCCCCGCGTCTGGCCATGGCCCTCCGGCGGTGTGCATCTGCTTGGTCGGGTTCTTTCATCCTCGGTGTCTGCCCTAGCCCCACACACGCCCCTCTGCTCCCATTTCCCACAGCATGATGTGTGATGATGAGGAGGAGCCTTGGAGCGAAGCTGAGCAGGGCGGCTGCAGCACATGCCGCCGGGAACTTGCATTTCCCGCAGCCGAGATAAGCCGTGGGCCCGCATTTCTCTGCAGAGTTTTGAAACCTCCTGGAATCAGGCCCCGAGCCCATAGGTAGAGCTGTGCTGCTGCCCTGGACCAGTGCTTCAGAGTTCATGTTGAATGTACCTGCTTTTCCAAATTAGTGGCCTAGTTAGTGGAGGCTTTGTGGAGTGGGGACAGCGGGAATGTTACTGCAGTGCACCAGTTCTCTTTCTTGACTAAGCTTTTTCAAGTCAGATAGTTTTGTTGAATAAACTCCAGAACTTAACATGGGGATGTGTTCGTTGCTGTGTTTGTCATGACTCTTGTCATGACAAAACAAACTTGTCTTTCTATGTGAAACTTCTTCAGGGCTTTCTCCTGATCCTTGTTTTTTGTCGATGCCTACGTTTTTCGTTTTCTGATCTAAAATGTTGCTTGTGTAGAGTGATTTATGAATTAGGGCTCTAATAATACCACTAATAATTAGGGTCTAATCATACTGCAGAGACTCTTAAGACTGAATTGTGTTTCCTGTGGCTAGAACTGCCTCCTTTCCCCTTGAGTGAATAAGAGGCAACAGAGGTGGATTAGTTGCAAACTCCACTTAGTTCTCTATAACTGTAACAAGCATGATCTTTAAACTTGAGATCAAAGTCATAGAAAGAGAACTTTCTAAGGCTTTGTGCTGCACAGGAAAATCTCTGTGCAAGTGTGTGTGATTTCTAATTTTGATTGACTTTTATTATCCATCCTGCTCTTAGGTGTCCGTGGTAAATCCTTTCATTGAGAAAGTAACATGCATATGCTCTCATTTTCTGCATACTTCAGAGATCACCTATTCTTTCAGCAATTTGGAAGAGTCATAAAGGTTTATGTTTCTTTGTAACATGACTCTGATAAAATTTTCAGGGACAACATTTAGAGGAATACATTTCCACGTCTCAAGGAATAGTATCTACTGGGCAACCAGTTTTCTATTCTTTGGTCCAACTTTGGTCATAAGCAAGGTATATAGTTCCAGCATTATGTAATGCCTATAGGAAGTCTTCTTTGGTAGTCTTACTGGCAACTTATTATGTGACCAGTATTTGAAGTTATTTTATTAAAATTCATAGTTCACTCTACTTTCTTACTCTCAAAATGAGTCAGAATAGCAAAAGTCAGGGCAAGGACTGCTCATTTTACTTTGGTGGTATTGTACCTCAGCAGGAAGCTTGCCATCCTAGTGCCAGGGAGTTTTTGAGGGGTGTATACAAACCAGGAAATGCAGGAGCAGGAATGTTGACCAGTAAAATTCTGTGGTTTGACACTGAAGAACAACAGGAAAGATCTCCTTAGCAAACATATGAAATCTGACACTTTGAAAATGAAACAGTTGTTTGGTGTCACATTTCTCTGCTTTGGTGTTGGTGTGGTGTTTGCAGCACAGTGTGTTTGCTCCTTGTTCGAGATTCAGCTCATCAGCCTAGTTTGTCATGACTCAGACAGTTGCTACTGCTTCTGGACTGAGAACAAATGTCTGCCCCTGCTGCTTGTCAAGTCTCCCCTAACAGGGCTTTGTGGCCAGAGCCTAGGTAGTAGGAACGTTTCCTTGTTGCTGCTTCGTGTACCTCATCTTTTCTTGTCATGTACCTCCAAGTATCCCTATCCCCATTACAGAGTAGGTTCACTCCCAGCGTGAGGGGCTCTAATCTCAGGATTTCTCAAAGCTGAGAAGTCAATATTGCTGGATGGGAGACTTCTCTCACTATAGCAGCAGCAGTCTTGGTGGAAGAGGGAGGAAGGGAAGGTGGGGTTTAATTTTACACTTTTCTAAAAAAGTAATGGTAGTTCCTTTCTCCTGTCTGTTTCATTTTGTCGAGACTATGTTTTCCTCACAGTGAGTTTAGTATATATGCCATTCAAAACACTTCATGTGTAAACTGTTGCAGTCGGAGCTGCTGAGAGTGAACTGTTTCTCTGATGTCACAAAATCTTTTTTTTTTTATGTTCGATTGTAACCTCTTTTGTGTTGAAAATCTCGTAACCATTGTACTGCATATAAATGCATTTTTGATGTTTACTACTAAAATAACGTTCTTGTAAGTACAAGAAATTTACTAACTTAATTTCATTATGATTGCCTTAATTTTTTGAATATTCCTAACAAATTATCATGGCTCCTTAACAAGAGAGTAGAAAAAGTAGAAACAAACCTGGTTATTGAAAAAGCATTTTTCAGTTGGCACTTCCATTATTTATTCACCATGAACAGCTTTAAGCCTCTAGCCCCAAATGAACCTGATTGAAAATCTTTAAAATAAGCACCGTTTTGCACCTAATCATCTGAAATGTAATATGGATTCTTCTTCTGTATATAGCTTGCAAACTCAAGTCAAAATAACACAGGAAAACAAGACTGTTTTTTTTCCCCCCTATTTTACACACATCATACCAAAAAAGTGAGTGATGGGCCTAAGAGCAGACAAACTGTTCTGGTGCCAGAAGTTCAATCACTGTTTTCTATTTTGAATGTTTGAGAAAGCTGGCTGCATATTTTTGCCCACTATCAGCGTTGACTGTGGGTACCACTAGAAATGTAGTCCCTGGAGAGCTGCTCACATAGGGACATCTTGGTGACAAAATGTTACTTTTTTCTTGGTCTTATCTGTATTAGGTGGTCTTCTTATGCTACTGGTGTTATTCCTAGAAGACTGCTGTGGTCGTTAGTGTCTTTCAGTACTGCCTGGGGGCTGTGAGGTTGACTATGGGTTTCCCTCAGCACTGCATGTGGTCCCTTCCTTAAGGATGACTCACTTAGTCGTTTTATAAGGATCATGACACTTTCATTCATCCCAGCCACTCTTCATGACCAGCATTCCACCAGATGTCATTAGTAAGAAATTCACAGAGACTCTGTATAGATGGTGTTGGCTATCTGCATTCAGTTTTTAATTTCACTTGACATTTTTTATGAGTCCAGTTATTGAAAGTTGCAATATATAAATTATTTACTCCCTATTGCTTTAATTCAGGCACACAGTAATTCAGCTCAGAATCCTTTTTTGTTTCCCTCTCAGGGAAACGCTCAAATCTGAGAGCATACGAGCAAAATTAATACAGAAAGAATTAATTCTGACAAAATTTTATTCCTTAAGAAGAAAATATTTGGTTCAAAGTACTGGCTTCCATTTTGGATATATGTGGGAAATTCATCAGTGGTGGTAGTCAGGAAGGAGATCACCAAACTGTATTAGGTGAGAATTGGAATAAAAGAAGTCTCTGAAATCAAAACATAAAGAAAAATGCATGAAAATTAAGTGAGTTGGAGTAAGACCAGATATTGACATCTTAACGCCAGTTTGTAGTATGCTGGTCTTCAGAGCACTGTATTAAATTTGTAATACCTCCTACGTCAGGAGAACACATACATGTCTCTGTGACAAGATGTTTTTTTCCTTATAGCAACTAGATGCCAAATGTGGTTTTGAATGTGGGAAATTTCGGTCTTTGGCTGTCTTTGTTACAGGAAATCTTTAAGCTTCATTTTTAGCTGCTTTGGGATTACTTTCCTGAGATCCAGAGTATCAGGATAGCACACAAGTGAATAGTCCTGCCTCAAACCCTAATAAGAGTTTTTATCTCCTATCCCTTGAGTAAGGATAGTAGAATAGGTTATGTATTGACACAGTACTTTTGTAATGATAATACATTCATTATCAGAAAAGAGAAGAAAAAGTTCTGGCATAGGCTGTTTTGAAATTCACTGTGCTTTCACGAGTGGGTTTCTTACATGGTTGCTAGTTTGTTTCTTCTTGTCTGATAGTTATAACTTACTTAATTTGCTGCCTTTTACCAAGGCTTTGTAACTTATTGGTATTGAGATTATTTTATTACACTCAGCTGCAGTACAGTAAATTGCTGATATTTCTTCAAGCTTAAAAAAAATATTTATGGTTTGTTGGTTTTTTTTCTTCCTAGAAGATGACATTTCAAAATACTCTTCCTCAACTAAAGATAAAATCCCAGTGTCAGTTGCGATATAATTTTAGGGTCTACTTGTTTTCACTCAGGCAGTTTCAAGCTTATGTTCACTTTTCTGCTACAAATTATTAAAACTGTTCAAGGCTTTGGAGGTAGAAAAGTGGAACAGAAAGTTAAATTAGTTTAATTTCATTAGAAAAAAAATTAAAAGTCATTAAGAGCTCTTTAGTGACAGTTTGGATACTTTTGGCTGAGAGATTGGTTTACTGGAATAAAATTGATATTGTTTAAGAGCCAGACAGTGTTACATAAAAACCTGGACAGTTTACAGCATTTTTTCGACCAATAAGATGAAATCAGGATCAGTCAGAAAAGAAATCAGTTGGGGTAATTGAGGAATTGAGGAAAAGCGAGCATTACTGAACAATTTAGGACCAAATCTGGGATAAGGACTTTGTGGAAGATGGAAATCTCTAACAAAGGACAATAGATGAATTGCAGCATAGCTTGGGTTTATTCTGTCTTGCTGAAATTTACCTGTGCTGTGTCTAAAACAGTTGTCTTAAGAGAGAAATGATAATTTCTTCATGTATTAACTCAAAATAATGAAACCTTTCACACAGTAAGTAGAATTCTGAGAACAACGGTCGTTTTAGGGGGATATGTTATGCTCCGTGGTAGATGTTACAGGACTAATGAGAGCATTAAAGAAAAGGAGATTTAGGGCAGCATGGTAGAGGTGCTACTGCTCAAACTGCTGCTACTGTATGAGAAAATGGGATTAAGATTTCTTCTGTACTTTGCCAGAGTACAGGTTAATTAAGGTCATCTGGGCATGTGTCTGCAAAAAAACAAAGGAAGCCAGGTTATTGGATGTTATGTGTTTAAATCAAAATAATTTTAACTTCCATGGAAACATCATCCCTGAATTCAATGTCATGATAGACTCAGAAGGTATGTAGTTTAGGTCATTTAAACTCCTTCTCAGTTCTTTTTTTTAAAATGCCTATCTGAGTGCAACAGGTTGCTGTAAATCTGATCCACAAGCCACAAATGTTGAAACATGATTCTAACGGCAGCATTCCCCAAGAGGTTTCCTTGCAAATACTGTGAGATAATTTTGGAAT